TTGTCCCGGGGTCCCCGTGTTTGCATGCGTCACTGCCCGGCCACCCCGGTCAGCAGGTGGCCGCGGGGAGCGGGAGTGAGGGCGGCCCGTCCGCACACACGGGGCCCTTTGTCTGGGCCGGGCAGGCGATGAATGAATGAATGAATGAATGAATGACCAGGGGCTGTCGCGAGGCCCGGCTGCCTGGGGACATGGGGCCCTGGAAGGACCTGGGCTGGGTGTTGGGGGGAACCTGGGCAGAACCAGATCCAACGGGCTCCCCCGCCCCCCGAGAGGGAACAGGCAGGAGGGGCGAGGGGCCCAGAGAAGGCGGGAGTCAGTCCAGCGGGGAGTCTGCTTGATTCATGGGAGCGGCCCCCTGCTCGCTCGCGCTCTCTCTCTCTCTCTCTCTCTCTCTCTCTGTTTTTATTGGTTTTAGAGAAAGGGGAAGGGCGAGGGATAGAGAGAAAACACCGACGAGAGAGAAACATCAGCGATCAGCACGCCCCCCGCGGGGGAGGGCGCCCACACCCGGGCGTGCGCCCTGACCGGAACCGGATCGGTGGCCTCTTGGTTCCTGGGTCGATGCCCAACCGGAGCCACGCACCGGGCTGGGCTAGCCTACTTTTTATTTCTCATGGCTCTTTTTGTTGTTGGATGTTCCTCTTTTTAAAAGCCCCGCCCCACACGCGGGAGAGGCCCCCGGGACGCCGTCCGTCGTGTCAGCTGTCCGGGCCGGGACGTGTCAGGCCGAGCGAGGATGGATGGTCCCCGCTAATGAGTCCGTGAGTCCGTCCCCCTCGGGGCCGGGGACCGATGGCCGTAATGACCACTGGGCTGGCCCCCACTGCTGTCCTCGTTGATGGCCCCCCAGGACAGTGGCAGGGGGGCCCCCCCCCCCCCCCCCGCCCCCCCCCCCCTCCCCGCGCCCTTTTGTGCACCGGGCCTCTAGTTCTCTGAGGCACCCACGCCAGGCAGGCACGGAGGCCTGGGAGCTCCGTCAGGGACAAGACGAGGGCAGAACCAGCCAGGGGGCATTTCAAGGCCTCCCCAGCCTATAGGTGGGGACCACCGGCGCCCCAAGAACCTCCGGCCGATTGAAGGCAGCACCCCATCCTCGCCGCCTCCCTCACCTTGCAAAGCCAGGCACTGCCCCACACAGGGACCCTCCACCACGGGGAAGGCAGACACCCAGGTGGGGGCCGGGGGGAGTCCTTTCTCGGGGTTCATCCCATGGCCCCCGCGATTCTCTGCCCCTGGGGTCCCTCCTAACAGGCCCTTTAACTCTGTGGCCCAAGTTCCCTGTGAAACGGGGACTCCGATTCCCACCCTGGGCCCTTGGACGGGAAGGGGGGCCGTGACCAGGCCCAGG